CTGAACTGATCTACTAAAAAAATTATAAAGTGATCTTCCATCACCACCTTGGTAATTTCATTTTTAGAAGAATCGGGCAATGTTTAGTGGGCACCAGAGACTTTTTGGACGTTCGGTTACTTCCTGGGAATCTTTTCATTGAATTTTTTAGCCATTTGACAATGTTGTGCCAAATAAATGTTACAAAGTTACACATACTTTTTTACTTCACCCGTGTTATTTTTATTTTGGGCGATCCAGACTCATTAGAGCTGACCTTGCAGGCTAGGTTGTGAAGACTGACTGGTGAAATACCATGAAATGAACTAGAGAGGAGACAATCTAATGGAACGATTCAACCGTTAGGAGCTCTGAGGCTACTTTTGTGTTCTGTGTTTGAGAAATGTTTGAACGTCAATTGTCAAATAATGACAGCTTAAAGCTTCAGCTGTTATAATCTATTTCCATTTTACCCTTCCCCGGAAAATGGAATATGCATTTTATTTTCATTTTCAGTTTAATGAGCTGCAATAATTATTCATCATGGTTTTCTGGGTTTCACTTTGCTACTGTTTCTTATTATACTTTATCATTGAAGAGTTTTATGGTTACAGGAAAAATGTGCTATATTTTACTCACAAGCTGCTGCTTGTATATCTTCCTCAGAAAGCCAGTGGAGCACAAAGAAAATAGTAAGCTTTACGGCCTCAATTTCTCGTCTAGCCGTTCTTACAATCTTCTTAACATTTCTTATCTGAATATTTGAACTAGTTGTTGTCTCAAGCCCCTTATTAATCCTCCCATAAAGTGTCTCCCCCATTGTCTCTTAGGAAAGATAAGCAAAGCCAAAGGAAAGGTCGGGGAGCCCTGTTATTTCTCACACTCCTAAAGTTGCTTTAGTGTGAAGGGCACTGTCAAGGGCATGTGCTGTGCTCCTGAAGGCATTGGATATTGGACTTAAATGGTTACAAGTCCATTTGAATGGGCTGGTTTGTCCAAGGGTTTATCTTTGCATAATGAGCGTTTTTCTTCATAAGCCTCGTCTCTTTTTCTTCTGACACTCCTCCAGTCCCCCTATCTGTGTGAGGCGACTTACAAGATATTGCTTTCGAGTCTAAGCTCGGGTGGTATCTCGGGAACTAAGAAGTGAGTGTAGATTAGATATTTCTTTCATATACTATCAAATTTTTTCTACACGGCCTTCTAATTAAGTAAAGGTAGTTGAGAGAGCTTTGAAGTGCTGAAAGGTCTTAAGCTATAAAGATAAGTCCATTTTCTTTTAATAGTTTGATTGATAAATTTGCAAGTGGCTTTGCATATTGACTAGGTACCTTAGTGGTAAGGGCTCCTATCACAATCCACAAAAGGGCATGCCTGTTGTCTGGGTCCCACAATGCTATACTCAAGCGTCCAGCTAACTTTGGTTGAACAAAAACAGGTAACCTTTGATACGTTCTAATCACTTGATAGAGATCGTTCATAAACGTCGTGAATATGTCAACAAATAGTAACCTTATTATCGATATTATATTTAATCTTATGCTGATTTTATTAATGATTCAATTGATTACTGTAATACCAATACAAGGGAATATTTTGATGCCACTAATGCAATGCATCCAAAGCTAAAATAGCAACAATTTGGTCACAAAGGCTTGATGATCTCCAGCTCTATCTTTGCTTTTTTCATGTTTGAGTTGATCAAATTATATTAATCTTCTTTCCTTTACCATAATCGAATGTAGTAGTTAATGGTAGGGCCCATTTAATTATTATTATTATTATTATTTAAAATGTAATAATTAGGAAGGATCTTTCTGGAAGATTATAATTTAAAAAAAAAAAAAAAAATGTGATGTGGTGTTCAATCAAACCAACAGGTTTAAAATTTGAATTTGAACCCACTTATGATTACAGTAATTAATAATTGTTATCCATCAAACATAATCTCAAATATTGAAAAATTCCAATATTTTTGGATCTACTTTAACGATTTTACCTATGCTGAAAGGTTATTTTGATTCTCGCCATTATTCTAGCTAGAACCTAATTTTCATCTCGGTTAATCATGTTAATCATGACGTCTCTAACTAATAAAGAATCCACTCGTTTGTCAATATAATGACTTAACATTTCACACTGAAGTCAAGCCGATTTATTAGATATAGGAACTTTTCTTTATTAAATGAAACTTATGAGGTAGTGTACCTACGGAAAGGAATGAACACTTCATCCACGTAGCGGAAACATTGAATTGGGAATCGTTTTGATTTTTACTTGAACACGATCTTCTTGTATGCCAACCACATACTGTTTATAAATTACAAATAAAATAAATAATAAATCCTAACACCTACCTAATCTCCTAGACATCTTGTATTTGTCAAACGTGAAGAAAATATTTTTGTTTTTTTGGCATCTTCTTTGTTATGCTATCCCCAAAAGAGAGAAAGATCTCGAATCTATCCCGAAAACAAACAACTTAACCTCCAATAATTTCTTCAAAAATTTAACATATAGGATAGAAGAAATATACAAAAAAGAATAAAGAATAATAAAAAGAATATATTCGTAAATGCTGATGGGAATAAAAATATTATGTTCCCTTGTTGATATTTTGTTGAGATAAAAAATTAGTGGTTGATTTTTAATTATAAAAAATCAACATCAAATTAGACCCCACACTCATAAATTCCCCCAACAAAAATAATAAATAAATATCTTTTATATTCTAATAATTCAATACTCAAAACAATAGGATAAGAATTACTCAATAATTTTTCATTTACGTTTCATTTTCATTTGTTACTTTATATTTTATACATTTATTAAATTTATCACTCACATTAATTATTAATTGTTAAGCCATTATAAAGTCCATAAAATATTAATGGATTTATTTATTTATTTTAATTATTAAATTATATAAATCTGAATAAAAAAGTTCAGAATAAAATGAACGTTTTGAAAATACAGAGAATAAAACCAATAGAGCTAATATTATCGCAACCTCAATTAAATTTATATATATAAAAATAAATAAAATGCTATCCATATTACATTAAAAAAGAAATTGACATTTCCTAAAATAAAATAAAAAATAATTTTAATAAAATTAAAATTCAACATCAAATTAGTCTAAACCCATAAATTCTGCCCATCAAACCATAAAATTAATTTCCCATGACGTTGGAAATTTTGTTGGGTAGGTACAAAATTAAATTTTTGAAAGCTATATATATATTTATATAGATTTTATACGTAAAATATCTTAATATGCTAAATAATTTCGACACTTCCTAAAGAACAACGCAGACCCGAAGGCACAATCTCCATCGGCTACCACTTGGGTACGTTGCTTATGAGGATCTTGGCGAGGGTGAAACAATATTGAGGTCACCATTGAGCTTGAATCATGTGGGCTGCTTGTCGTTCGCCGCTCGAAACCACGTTGGTCGCCAAGTTCCCATTATGTTCTAACGAAGTGGTTACTTCTCTCTTTCTTTGATTCATATCTTTCATTTAGAAGACTTTTTCTCAAGTTCATTCCAATCTTGACTTTCTTCAAGCTTTATGTCGATGTAGTGTTGACTTAGGCTACAAAATGTACCACCATTATTTCAAGGGTAAAGTTGTAATTTGAAAGAAAATATGACCGAGCGTTATTTTTTTTTTTTCCCTAATCATAGAATTAGATGATTGGGACAATAGTTATTTGGGCACAAGTTCACTTTCACGTTAGACTTATTCTTTCGAGTCTATTATCGACTTTTAATTTTTTTTATTATATCCAATTTCACCCTTGACAATATTTAATTTTTAGTGTAATAAATTTAAATTAAATATGAAAGTAAAAAATTCAAATAAGATATTAATAATGTGTTAATGGTCAACTATTTGTGAAGTAAATATTAAAAAGTCATAATTAATTAAACAAATTTTAAATAATAAATTTCCCTATTTAAAAAAATATATGATATATTTGTATAGTTGACATATTCAAGGCTAAAAAAATATTATTAATTAAAACCTTATTTTATTTTATTATGAACATTTTATTGCTAAATTAACGACCATGCGACGTGATCGAGAGAGACAAGTATTTGCATATATATTATTAGTTAACTTTATTTTAAACGTCAATTTTGTACAAATTTATCAAATTAATTTAATTACTTCTTGTCTCGATATGGACGCCTAATTTTTAAATATTGAAAGATTATGAATTTATGACCATAATATTTTTTTTTTAAATATTAGTTCTTACGACATCTCTAGTTTTAAATATTTAATTAAGATTTAGGATTCAATTTAAATATGTATTTTAAAAAATTAAATATTATGGGTAAGAAAGGTTGGAAAATAAATAAAAATAAAATAAATATATGTATTTATAATTGTATCCTATTTTTTTCTATATCTTTCTAAAATTAAATTAATATATTAAACATAAAAATTAATTTTATTTTTTATATCTGTGATATCCGAATTAAATGGTCTAACCCAAATTCCCAACCTTCTCAATATTTATTAAACAAAAGATACCAAAATCACCCAATAAAAATATACATTAAACATGTGACTAAGTTATTTAATTACATAAAAGAATTTTCAAAGATATATAAAATAATTTTAAAAAATGATACCAACTCTCACAATCACAATATGTCCGGACCCGTAATGCAACTGTGCGACACTTATTCTTACTCTAGTAGTTAACTAAAATTGATATCAACTGTTACGATCACACTTTGTCAGGACTCCTAATGCGACTGTGCGACACTTATTCTGACTATCACAGCTCACTAAAATTGATATCAACTGCCACAATCGCACTCTAACAAAAAAAAAAAATATGAGAGACGGAGGAAGGGTTAAAAAAACATTTAAAAAATCAATATTAAAATCAATATTAAAAAAGTAACTTTTTTAAAAAAATAATGTTATATTAAAAGTGAATAAGAATAATCATAGTTTTGAGTCGTGGAGTGGACATAATATTGTAATATTATTTTATATTAATTAAAAAATAAAGGGAGGACCACACACAAATTCCCACTCCTCCATGAAGGAACAGGGAATTTCCGTTCTGTGAGGCAATCAGCCTTCCAAAGCTGACCAAATATCACTATTTAAACCCTCCTCCTTCGTCTCTCTTCATCTTCATCTTCATCCACCTCCATTGATCTTCTCTTTCTCTGATCTCGATCCGCCATGGTTTTGTCCAAGACTGTTTCTCAGTCGGATGTCTCCGTCCACTCTACCTTCGCTTCTCGATATGTGCGAACCTCTCTCCCGAGGTACTTCATTTCGTTTCATTGATCGCGGATAAGATCGATTCATCGATCCGTCATTGTTGTTGTTTCTCACCTGGTTTATCAGATCTCGAAATTAATTACTGAAATTGCTACCTGTGATTTGTGTTTTGGTGATTCTGTTTCTTTGATTTTTCTCTGGATCGATTTCTATAATGTTCTGTTTGTTGTAGATTCAAAATGCCGGAGAATTCGATCCCTAAGGAGGCTGCGTTTCAGATCATTAATGATGAGCTCATGCTCGATGGAAACCCTAGGCTGAATTTGGCATCCTTCGTCACCACTTGGATGGAGCCTGAGTGCGATAAACTCATCATGGCCGCTATTAACAAGAATTACGTTGATATGGATGAATATCCCGTCACTACAGAGCTTCAGGTACGATTCTCCATCTCTCTGTTAGCTTTAATCGAAAGATTAGATCCATTTCGTTCTACCGCTTCTCTCCATTATCCATCGATTTTCCTCTGAAAATTCTTCCGAATTTTGAAATATAGCGTTCGCTCATGGCTGAATTCTACGATCGAGATTAAAAAATTAACAAAAAATTGTAGTTTAATTATTTAAAATGAATTTGTTCAAGTCTAAAAAAGGAAGTTTAATTAAATATTTCAACAAAAAAAAAAACAGTTTTATAGGTTTCATATTAATAAATTAATTGTTTAATCCTTTTTATCCCAGCGAACAAAACATTAATCATATATGATTCAATATTCCAGTTATAATATAATTTTAGGATCACATAAACCTTTATGTGTTGTCATATAGTTTATTATAATATGACTTTACATACATACACATATTAAAAATAATAAAACATTTTTCTTAAAAAATAACAACAAATATTTTTTTAATTTAAATATATTAGTTTAAAAGAACTTGATTCCATAACCATTCATTCTGCATGTATTTTTAAATTTGTTATAATTTAGTCTTAAAATATGTAATAATTGTGTAAATTTTTATAACCATGATTAAGATTGATAAAAATTAAAATAAAAAATTTATCAAATATAAACTAAACAAGAAAAATCAAATATAAACGAGGAGGGAAAGTCAAAAGAGGACAATATCGGAGTAGACACGAGGCGGTAATGACAAAAACATTATGAGTAGGATTATTTATTTAAAGTCAATAGAGTTTTTGATGATTGGTATTGGCGTGAAGACAAAGCGTGCAAGCCTTATTGGGCCTCCCTCCATTTGGTACCCCCAATTCACTCTGTCCATTCCGGTGAAGACGCGCTTTCAAAATAAAAAAAAAAAAAAAAAAAAACTAAATTAATGAATTACATAGTGAGACAATTTCAATTATTTCAAGTTCTTCCACAATAATAATAATAATTATAAAAGCAAAAATAATTCATCCATTAATAATACTTTTTTATTTTCAAGTGCTTTATTATTATTATTTTTTTGGAGTTACACTTTTACCATTGATTTTTTTACTACTCCTGGCTGTTATTTATGTTGATTATTGAATGAAATAAAAAGTAAATTAAAAATTAAAAGAAAAGGAAAAAAAAAAAGTGAGATAATATATATTTTTCCTGTTGAGATTTATGGGTCTGCGGAATGGAACCCACCGTCGGTATGGGAAGGGACAAAGAAGTAGTAGCTTAATGGGCCACAAATGGCCCATCCATTACCCAACTTGTCACCTCATGCTATTGGGAGGGAACTTAATATTACACTTTTGTCCTCCTAATTTTGTCTTTCATTTAAAATATTATTATTTTAAGTAATTGAAATTTCAAAATTTTTCCTCTATAAAACTATAAAATGGAAAAATAATTAAGCTTAAAAGATTGATCGATTAAATCAAATTTATTGTTAATTTAACATTTATATATAATATTTATTTTATTTTTCTAATTTATTATTATGATTGATTCTCAAAAAAAAAAAAAAAAAAACCTTAAAAATGATTTTTTAAAACTATTTTAGAAAATAATTATTTAAAATATATATTAAAATTAATTCGAAGGTTTTATTTTTCTTTGTTCCCATGCCTATGTGGCGGACAATTATTATCAGTCACCATCATTTCATAGGTGGACATGTAACTATGTTTTTAATACATTCATTGACTAATAACACAAAAGAAAAAAAAAACATTAAATTTGATCGATTGAGATTAGTAATATATGTTAAAGTTGTTGGATACTGATTTGTTGGAGAGGAGGTGTTGAATGATATGAGGCCTTTTGGGGAAGTCCAAAACAAAGCTATTAGAGCTCATACTCAAAGTAACAATATCATATTATGGTGGGGAGTGTGGGGAGTGTGTTCGTCTAACCGGAGTAATAACTAACTGGGTGTTGTGAATTGGCTGCAGAACCGATGTGTGAACATGATAGCTCACTTGTTCAATGCCCCATTGGGGGAATCTGAGACGGCGGTGGGAGTTGGAACTGTGGGATCGTCGGAGGCCATAATGTTGGCTGGTTTGGCTTTCAAGAGAAAGTGGCAGAACAAAATGAAGGCTGCAGGCAAGCCCTATGACAACCCCAACATCGTCACTGGAGCCAATGTCCAGGTATTTATGTAGTTAACAGTAATTGATTCCCATTTGGGTTACTGTTTTGTTCTTAAATTTCGGCAATGAATGTGAAGGTATGCTGGGAGAAATTTGCGAGGTACTTTGAGGTAGAACTGAAGGAAGTGAAATTGAGCGAAGGTTACTACGTGATGGATCCACAGAAAGCTGTGGAGTTGGTTGATGAGAACACCATCTGTGTTGCAGCCATTTTGGGTTCCACACTCAATGGAGAATTCGAAGATGTAAAGCTCTTAAATGATCTCTTAATCGAGAAGAACAAGGAAACTGGGTTCGATTTCTTCTCTTTTTCTCTCTTTAATTGAATATAATGAAATCAAACCTGAAATCAAGCATGATTTTCACAGATGGGATACCCCTATTCATGTTGATGCTGCGAGTGGAGGGTTTATTGCCCCATTCATTTACCCTGATCTAGAATGGGATTTTAGGCTGCCCCTTGTTAAGAGTATTAATGTGAGTGGCCATAAGTATGGGCTTGTTTATGCTGGAATTGGTTGGGCTATCTGGAGGAACAAGGAAGACTTGCCTGAAGAACTCATCTTCCATATCAACTATCTTGGAGCTGACCAACCCACTTTCACCCTTAATTTCTCCAAAGGTACACATTGTATGTTCTAGCAGATACTCAATGGAGCCTGATTTTTGACTTTGAAGCTGAATTTGAGTTTTGTTAACTGCAGGATCTAGCCAAGTTATTGCTCAGTATTACCAAATGATCCGGTTGGGTTATGAGGTGAGATTCTCATTATTCATTGTCTTATTTCACGAATCTTGTTTTATCCGTTTGAGTCATGGATTCTCGTTCGTTATATCTTTATGTTTCAGCTTCTAATAGTTATTGTTAGAAACCACGACTTTCTACAATGATATGATATTGTCCACTTTGAGTGTAAGCTCTCATGGCTCTACTTTTGATTTTTTCGAGAGGTTTTGTAACACCAATAAAGATGTATTCCTTGCTTATAGACCCTATCATCCCCTTAATTAGTCAACATGGACTTCTTCTCTTTTCCCAAAATCATACGAATGAAGTATTGTTAACCCATGATCAATATGGGACTTCCTCCCAACAATCCTCCTCTCGAACAAAAGTACACCATAGAGCCTCCCCTGAGGTCTATGTAGCCCTCGAACAATCTCTTTTTAATCGAGGCTCGACTCTTTTCTCTAGAGCCCTCGAACAAAGTACATCTTTTGTTCGACACTTAAGTCACTTTTGACTACACCTTCGAAGCTAACGACTTCTTTGTTCGACACTTGAGGATTCTATTGATATGGCTAAATTAAGGATATGATTCTGATACCATGTTAGGAACTACAAATTTCCATAATAATATGATATTGTCTACTTGAGCATAAGCTCTCATGGCTTTGCTTTTGATTTTTCCCTAAAGGCCTCGTACCATACCAATGGAGATGTATTCCTTATAAGCCCATGATCATCCCCTTAATTAGCAGTATTCCTTATAAACCCATGATCATCCTCTTAATTAGCCAACGTGGGACTTTCTCCCAACAATCCTCAACCGTTATAAGCTATTATGTGTGTATTAATTGCCCGATAAATGGGCAAGATAAGCTTAATCATAAACACTCGTACACCCAAATCCCTCAATCTAACAAAGTAGGTACCATTTTTGTTCATCAGGGATACCAAAACGTGATGGAAAACTGCAGAGAAAACATGTTGGTTCTAAAGGAAGGACTCGAAAAAACGGGTCGTTTCAACATCGTGTCGAAGGACAATGGAGTCCCACTTGTGGCCTTCTCCTTGAAAGATAGCACTCGTCATACAGAGTTTGAGGTCTCAGAAATGCTGAGGAGATTCGGGTGGATTGTGCCTGCCTACACCATGCCTCCAGATGCACAACACATAACAGTCCTAAGAGTTGTGATCCGAGAGGACTTTTCTCGAACACTTGCTGAGCGTCTGGTGTCAGATATTGAGAAAACGATGCACGAGCTCGACATCCTCCCATCGAAGGCCGACATCATGAACACGGTGGCGAAGAAGAGCGAACTCGAGACACAGAGGGAGATCACAACTGTTTGGAGGAAGTTTGTGATGAACAAGAAGAAGACAAATGGAGTTTGTTAAGAGTTGAAAGCAAGGGATTATGTCTATGTGTGAAGTGAGAGCGGATGAGCTTTGTATTTGTGGAATGAAAATGTTTGTTTAGTGTTCTTGTTGTTAAAGATGTTGCTTCTATTAAGCATACCTCCACTTTTGAATTCGAGTGCAAACTTATCATCCTTTTCCTTAAATCTATGTTGGTTGATTACTCATACATAGAATATGTTTTCCCACCTGTGGTATCACTCGACTAGAGTCGATAGAGTCGATAATTGGCTTAATGCTTGCCAAAGAGTAGGTGATTCAAGACCTGTACCAACCTCGTGATATCGATCGAGACCTAGATTTCAAATAAAAAAGATATGATCTCGAAACTCTAAGTCATAAAGGTGACAAAAGTTTCAATACCCACGAAGACGAGTGGAAGACTGTCGATTGTTTACCGAAATGTCAAATTTGTAGAAGAATTTGACGAAAGGTTTAATATCTTTTCACCTAGAAAACTAATTGGATTTTTGTTAGGTGAGATTCCACATCGGTATGAGTCAAGAGAATGACCCATTGGCCTTTGATTTCCATATAAAAGACACGTGCATAAATACCCTCTTTAACTTCTATTCTGATGGACAGAATGTCTTTCATAATGAATCGGAGGAAGATTCAATGATTTTTTCAGAAAATCCCCAACGAAAAATAGACACTATTCCTTCTTTTCTATCGAATCGATCATAACTGCTACCTACATTCCACAAGCACATTGAATATCGAAAGTGGGTGGATTGAGAAATCCTACATCTGTTGAATAGGAGAATGAAACATTCTCTATATTTATAAGAGCAGAGAAACTTCTCCCTAACAGACGCGTTTTAAAAACCTTGATTGAAAGCTCGAAAGAGATATCTCAAAAAGAACAATATCTGATAGCGGTATGCTTAGACTGATACACGACAATCCGTTATTGATCTATATTATTAGAAATACTCATTTGTTCATATCCCAAGCATGCTTCAACAAACAATAGGCAAAATAGATTTAAGAATCAAGACTTGGAGTTTGGCAATGGCAATGGCTTCCCCTTCACCACAGTAACAGGACATGAAGCATTCTTCACAACGTAGCTGCTCACACTCCCAAGCAATACCCTGCGTTTAACCAAACATTTTGGTAACCCATTTCTCTCATTCAATTTCAAAGGGGATTGATCGATAGAGTTTAATTACCTCTTGATAGAGACTAAACCCCTGCTTCCAAGAACAAGCGAATCAAGCTTAAGATCTTCCACAGCCTCACACAATTTCTCCCTTGGATCGCCCCAATAAACCTTAGCCACAACTCTGACCTGCTTCGTTTTCAAACAAACCCTAAACCCATCATTCATCAAACAAAATCACTGAAACAAAAACAGAGAGAAACAGAGAGAAACAGAGACCCCTTTGGTTGTAGCCAATGAGTCAAGAACATCAAGAACTTCTACATCATTTCTCAGTCCATACTGCTTCTCCAACTTAATCTCTCTGAATTCCTCAAGAGGAATCAAAGCTGCAAAGGAGAAAGAAAGGGTTTGTTAGAACAAGCATAGAAATTAAAGAGATTTTGAGGGGGGGAAGAAAAGGGTACGTGAGCCAGTGTGTTGGAAGAGGAGCTTTCTGGGAGTATCAGAATTGGGAGGCTCAACATGGATCAAAATCAATTGATCTCCATGGGTAAGAAGGTTATGAGCAGCCCATTCTAAAGCTGATTTGCTTGTTGCAGAGTAATCCATGGCTACTCCAACTCGCCGATTGTGATCCTTCTCCATGTTTTCTGACATGTTTCGCTGCCAATATGATATGATTTCTCTGTCTCTCGCTGTTCAAGTGTTCTGTTCGTGGGAGGAGCTTTGGATTTTATAGCAATGGAAGAAGGTTCTTGAAGCTGCTAGTTTAGTTTCTCTTTCGCAAGTATTCCATACCTAAGAGGAATGTTTGTTCTTTTCTTCTCCTTTTATATCTTTTTCTTTTTCCTACCTTAAATTATTGGTTTTGTTCTAAAGTTCTTTGCATCTCTTTTATCCATAAATTTTTATAAAACTAAAATCACTTTCTATTATTGAATATTATAAAAGTATTCTTATAAACAGTATATGAACGAAAACTATCTTTAAAAAAAATACCTCAAAGAATGCAAGAGAATTCCAAGATGAGAAATATGGATATCTTAAAGGAAAAGAAGTTCCAACATAAAAGAAGCAGAGAAATCAAAGTCAATTAAATTCTAATACACAGCCACCATAGTTGCATGCCTAAGTCTGAGCATTCAACTGTGAGGAAGTAGATTGGGAGAGAGATGATGAAAATACTATAAAACTCCAAGTGACAGATACATCATTTTTCATTTTTTTCTTCCCTTTTCCAATAGAGAAAACTAAATTGTGTTTGTTTTCTAAATAAAAAGATAAAGATGGGTGAGTTGAGTATTGAATACAGTGGAGTTCTTTCTTCTATTTCCAGGAACCACCCAATCTGATCACCTCTTCACCGCTACTATCTCTTCTGTTAATTCTTTCTTTGCTTGGATCCCCTCCTCCTTTCTGCTCGCTCACATCACCATACATATCTTTTAGTTTTGCCAGATTGCTCGATATGATCGACGTCTTCTCCGAGGTTCTGCCCCTTGCAGGACTTGGCTCTCGTTCGTGATGGCCATGGGCATTCACTCCTGTTTGTAGACTTCGACTACTGCTCCTGCTTCTACTTCGGCTACGACTCCTTCGGTAATGCCTTGTACCACCATCACGGCTACTTCTTTCGAAGTCCCTTCTACCCTCTCTATCAGTATAATGAGTCCTTCGATCATAATCATAACTTCGTTCTCTGTCTCGCTCTCTGTCCCTTTCCCTATCCCTGGCTTTCTCTCTTTCTCTATCTCTTTCTCGGTCCCTCTCCCGATCTCTATACTTTTCTCTGTCCCGATCATGTTCTCGCTCTCGGTCTCTATCCCTTCCCCTGTCCCTGTCATATTCTCTGTCCCTGCTCCTTTCCCTGTCATAATCTCTATCCCTGCTTCTCTCCCTGTCATAATCTCTATCCCTGCTCCTCTCCCTAGTATCTGGATGTTCACGACTTTGGCTACGGCGACTGCTTGGAGATCTTCGTAGATCATCACTATTATCTCTGTCAATAGCTGATGTCGGTAGCGTACGACGAACTGGAGATGAGTCCCTAGTTGAGGCACGATGTGGGGCTCGTTGTCCAAAGGAGACTGAAAGTGAAGCTTTTACAGAAGGTGGTCGCCGTGCAGTGTCTTCAGACCCCAATCGATGGGTTTCCCCTGTCACGCCTGAATGTTTGCTTGGAAGCTTCAATTTTTCGAGATTAGCTACAACTTGTCGCAAGACAGGAACTGGAATACGAGGGAAAAGAGTATCGAAGTAGTACTGCAATTGGCAAACAAAATGTGAGCACTTTTAGCTACAAAGACGAGGGATTTAAAAATAACAATACATCTAAATTCAAGTATTTTTAAAAAACTACGAAAGATAAGAGGTTAATATGTTCCAGTTAGAACATGTGAAAATAATGATCATTCAGCCGTGTAGGCAACACAATAGAATCACAAACACCGCCAGATAACATAGAAACATAATTTTTACCACAACGAATCACAATTTCTTCCATTTAAAAGCTGAAAGGACAAACAAAATAAAAGCTTAAAGATCATCTACTCAATTATCCAATTTAGTGAAGTCACTAATCACACTTTTAGATAACAACAATGTGATAAAATCAACACCTTGGTTTCATATTTTATTTTATTCAACTTATACACTTCATTCATCTATTTTCATCATATACTACCAAAAAAAAAAAAAAAAAATCCAAACAATGATTGATTTAAATATGTCAAGACCATTCCTAAAAAAATTAATTCATGATCTGTCATTCGAAATATTTCCAGGAAAATTAATAGTTAGAAACTTAAGCCAAGACTTTTCTTTCCACATCACGATTAAGAAGGTTCATGAAGGGGCAAATCTCTGAAAGGTATCGCTTTAGACATGTAAAAGCTAACACATTTCGTGAAGGGCTTCCTCTAATCTACCTACAAGGTGCATAAGTGGGAAATCAAACTAAAAGAAAAGGTTATATAAGGAGTCAAGAAAATATTGGATGCATTAGAAAAGACAAAAAAAAAAAAAAAAAAAAAAAAAAAAAATCTTTTAACTATAGTATACTCTATATTATAAATCTTAACAATGTCTTCCAACCATGAATCGACAATGCAGTGCTCCCATAGTTAAACACTAGAGAAATGCCAACATAAACTCCATATACACACAAATTTATCACGTATGCGACACAAAGAAAAAAGAAAGACAACCAAGAAACATGGTATCTAAAGGGGAGATGGTATATAACCTGACCTGTCCAAGGAGCAAATCACGCACATAAACACCCATAGTAGTCATTCGTCCATGGGATCCTGGTGAAAATTCCTGTAACACATCAAGTCTGTTAGTTCCAATTCTGCTTTTTGTAGCTTTAGGTTACTATTTAAATCCATTAAAAATGAAAACATGCAAACAAAACATTATGGATTTGTAAGGAAGAAAATTGTTTTCCTGTTATTTGAGGAAGGGGAAAAGAAAAGTACAAACAGCAAATGGACCGACCAAAAACCCTCCAAAAGTATAAAAAAAAACATGCCACGGAAAGCTGCATGTATCTGGAAAGGGAAAGTTCAAGAGCACCTCGTCAATCATAAAGTTGCAGTCTTTGCTACAAGCCAAAGCGATCCCAAATGACCATAAACAGAAACTCCAAAGGGAATAAGCAAAATAGAAAGTTTACAAAAAATGTTGAGGATCTTCCTCTTACCACCTATGGAGAACGGACCACTGCCGGCAAAACACAAAGGAAAGATGTCTCTAAATATAGACTTAGATGTTCACTCTCCCATGCAAAATGTACCAATTAAAGAACTTAAACCTTTATAGATATCATAACCATCCAGCCCATTCAAAACTTGCTAAGCAAAGGAATTCAGAAGGGACCAAAAATATGGAAAAGCAATAACAAGAGAAATTCCGAGAGAGGTTAAAGACCAAAACCAGAAACTCCCTTCTTCTCCCAGGACGGACTAGCTAATTAGGAATGAGAGAAAGAAGGGCAACCACATCCAACATCACTCAACCACTTAGGGGACACCGAAATCCGAAGTAACAAGGAGGAAATACTAGGGGAAGGCAGTAAGGAAGCCACCAAATGCAACCTTATCTGACAGATGATGAAGCAGTGAAACCAATGTTTTAAAGGTGGCATTGGAGTTTTCCAGGCTAAAAGTTAAGCTTCCCTTAAGGCGAGCTTCAATGCAAGCAAGGTTTTCGGTCATTCCCAATTAAGAATTTTATAAACGGGAGACCAAAGGAAAACTCAAAGCATTAGCAGTTCACAAAATTTTTCTTAAACTAATTCCCACGTTCAGACCGGCTCAAAGAATACGAACTATTCTTAATCACTATAGATGTATACCATAAAAGTATATGGTTCATTAAAAACACCACAATCATTTCAAGAACAAAGCCTCATCACTAATTCTATTGCCTAAACCTCCCAGCACCACTACCTTTGAAGCTTCCTCCCACCTAACCAAGTGGGGTCCACCATCCTCATTAATTCCTTCTCATAATAAATTCCTCAATAATCTATTTTCACACCAAAATAGAAATTCCAAACACTAGGGGGAAAAAAAAGAAAAAAGAAGTATTTGGGGACCCATACAATACCGACTAGATAAGGGTAAGGCTTCCTCCCTGAGAAAAGAATGCCTTTTTCCAAGAAAATAGTCGTTTCTAGACTTTTTCCACCACAAGGTTCAAGAAAGACAACCTCCTTCGGTTACCACCTAAGGGAAGCCCTAGATAAGAACAGGATAATTCGCTAACATCACAACTCACTTAGGAAGCCCAAGAGGTCAACTTAGAGAAATCACAATTTTAACCAACGATGGAGCTCTCTCCTATTTGCCTTTAGTCACTTCAATTGGTAAAGGAGATTCCTTTATTGAACAAAACAAACGAGGGTGTATCATAGGTGATGTAAAGATGCGAAAGAAGGAAACTCTTTGATGCCACCTTAAAGCCCTCGACCACTTTCTTTTCCAAAATATCAACAAGAAGAATGAGCAGAGGAGGCGAGAAAGGTCACTTTACTTGAGATCTCTAGAGGCAAAAATCTTACCTCTCGGTCACCCATAAATTTACCTATCCTATGCAGTTTCAAATGCACAATCCATTTGCAACAAAACATTTTTATCGAACTTTTTAAAAAAATAAAAATAAAAATCCCAATCAACATGATCAAAGGCTTTCTCAAAATCAATCTTGAAAATCACACCATTCTTTCACTTCCTATAGTATTCATGGCTTCATGAACAACCAACATTCGACCTAAGATTTGCCAGCCTGCAATAAATGCTCCTTAGGCATTGGAAATAGTAATAGAAAGCACTTCCCTAAATCAATCTGCCAAAGTTTTAGCAGCGATGTTTTATAGACATGACATAAGTAATTTCTATGAAAGCTTTCATACTAGTTTTGACTTTCATTGGATCATAACCTATAGTGTGAGTAGTCATTGGAAGTCATTTGCATATCCCTAAAAGAAGCTTTTGTGATCTCATCTACTCCAGCTTCAAGAAAAAAAAAAAATACATTTCTCTTCCATGTCATAATAATCTCAAACATAATGAAAAATGAGATAATAAGCATGTATAGGGTACCACACCTTATCTTTCTTTTTTACTTCAAAAAAGTGATCCCCTTGAATAACTAATAAGTTATAGGACTCTCGTTATCTGTTTTCACTTCCACTTGTGAAGGAACAAGAGCCGGAATTCAACTAGGGTGAGTGTTGTTTTCTATGGAAATGAAGTGATGGCTTTGAACCGATATCAAATGGCCTTGCCGCACTTTTTAACAAAAAAAAGAACAAAACTTTTCATTGGATAAGTGAAGGGAGATTAATGCTCTATGGATAGAAACTCCAAAAAGGAGTGAAAGAACAAAAACAAAGGAAAATACATAGGAGAATACCTCAATGAGAAAGGAAGTAATAACTTAGAAATAAAGCTCAGATAGACTATAAGAGCTACAAAAACAAAACTAAGTAGCCATGAAAAAAGCTGGCTTCAGAAGGCTTTTAAAAAAGACTCCACTACTCGACCCTTCCAACACCAAATGCCAGAGATAATAATCTAAGCCTTATAAACAGAGACATAAATCAAACCTAGGCATAAGCTTTCTTTATCAACAGCACAGCACCATTGAACTCTGCGGACAAAATATAATTCAAGAAGATAAACACTGACTTCATATAAAGATCTGACAGGAGAGCAATCACATAAGAACTTGCTTTCAGTTGAAGCTCAAATCCGATAAAGAACTTCAAAAAAATTGGATTCCACTTAATATTAAAGATACCCCATCTCTTTCCTCAATAAAGAGGAAAACCCTTCGAAGTCCAGACCAAATTAATCAAATTGAAGGGATCATTGAACTCTTAAGATAATTAACGAGGACAGCAGTATTACTCATAAATGATCTTGTCATGCAAGGTCAAAAATTACCGGCAATAAGAAAAGCCACCAGTAAAGAGGACGTTGGGTTTCCAAACAAAAGAACAACTGGTGGTTGATTAAACATTATGCAACAACAAAAATGAAAACCCCATAAAAGACTTCTCATCCACCAAGAGAAGGCAAGTATCTTCAGCGGTTGGCCATTTATTGCACTTATCAAGCAAAGCAATTCATAACCGACAAAATAAATGCCACAAATAAATTTCAGCCAAAGAAGAAACGCTGGAAATACATTCTTCATGCATGATGAACCCCAAACCACCTTTTTTGGACTTGTACTAGAAAGAAAAAATTCTCAAGATAAGAAAAGATTAAACTTCATTCAAACAGCACTAACCCAACCAAGACAGCCTAACAGACAAAGGAGCAATGTGTTCCCTCTCCAAAGGAAGGGGTCAAATAAGTGCCCTCCAAAAGGGAGGGTTGCAGTATAAAGTCAACTGAAAGAACACAGATTAATCACTAGATTAGAAAGTATAAACAGCCTCAAGTTCAAATTCATCTCCACAAGCATATATGGCATCTCAATAATATTGAAAATTGGTCAGCGCTTACTCAATTATCAACATATATTGACGGCAAAAGAAAACAACTTACAGTCGCATTGAAGGCAATTATAAGCCAACCACATGCATGCTAACCGTTATGCTTTAGCAACAATCCACAAAATTAAGAAATCAAGCACCTATATGCATCACATACCTCTTCATCTTTAACATACGGTTCAACCCAATTCCAAAGAGTCTTTGGATCTGCGACGTATCTCAAGTACAGAAATCCAATCTGGAAAATTAATTTAAGAAATACATCAAATGGTAACAGAGCTGAGTGTAAATAATACAGCTAGAACGATAACTTCTTAAACATCAGAACAATAAGGGCATCATAATAATAATATAAGAAAGCAAATCATGCAGAAAAAGAGGCATGCAAGAATTTAAGTAACCGTATTAATTCCTCTGATGTAATGCAGACCTTATTAAGAGTGTAAAATAAAAAGAGGCGGCAATATCCGTACAAAATACTTTGTGTACTCATCATATATCAATTTACATATACTATGTAAATTGAGGCGGCAATATCCATACAAAATATTTTGTGTACTCATCATATATCAATTTACAGATAAATAAACTCAAAGGATTGAAATAATCTTGATATTTTTAAAAAATAAAAAGGTCACCTCAAACCTTGGATATCTGCAAAGCAAAGCAAAGGCACTATTAATTTATAACGTAAGAAAGGACACAGCAACCAAAGTGGCAATGCTCGTCATTTGTTCATGACATCCGGTGAGCAGGCAAGAATGTTATCGAGCACATGCATGTATCAGGCAGTTTTATAAACTAAAGAAACAGAATAATGCAGGAACTAGCATAAAGGCAGAAGGCAGAAGGCAAACATTCAAAAGGCTTTCTAATATCAAGTTCTAAATTTCAATCCAAATAAAAGCACAAGCTTCATCAGCTCAGAATAATAAGTTTGAGAGAGATAGGGAGAAAGGAGACCTGTGATCCTAATTGAAGGCCTGTAAAATGGTGTATTTGAATGAGAAAGAGAACCTGACTTCAGCATGACTACAAGCCTAAAAGAGGAACTTTTTCTTTTCATAGAAAAGTTGAAATTGTTCAAGTGGAAATTAAAAACTAATCGAACATTCTGACTTATTGCATGCGTTTTACAGACTGAGTTACTGCTTTTGGCAGCAAATTACTCAAATTACCTACAGAAACTTTGTTGGTTGGGTGTGCACGAGTATAAATACTAGCTCTCTGTTTTCTTAATTAAAGAAGATCAAAATAATTATTTACTAAAAAATGAATAAGTAGAAAGGAATCCACAAAAGGAGTACCAAACAGCCCACGACATAAATGTTACCGATGTTCTACGTCTCTATTATAAATATGATAATTAAAGGTCAAAAGGATTCTACCTACCGCTCTGATGTAAGGGGAATCCTCGTGCTTTAGCAGCCCATGCATTTGTTTCACAGTAAGTTTCATGGTGAAAAACTTGTACAGAAGGCAGAATGCTGTTGAAGGACCACGGCAGTTCCCAGTCATCCATGGCTCCACGTGATCAACTTGGTTATAAATTTCATCAACCACTTCATGGTATGTCTTCAAACGATAAAGCTCCTTAAAGTAATCAGAAGACAAAATATTCATACATAGAACCTTCTCCAGCAAAGAATCAATTGGCTTCCCGCAAGTCTTTATCTCCATTTATGGGTCAATAACTAGACATCTACCTACAGGGACAAAAAGAATACAGTCACTCTCTTCGATGGCATATGAGAACTATACATGATCTATGCTTACAAAATGACTCAAAAGTAGGACCCAACAAAAAAAGACACCTAGAAAAGAGCATTTGCTCAATTTCACAAGTGACATTCAACTGATATGAAAATACTTCAAGTGGTGCAGCTGGAAAAAAGTGCTAGACATCCTTCCAAAGTCAGCAGCCAACAAAGCCTTCCTTCATTCACTTTCTTGTTTAAATTATTAGGTTCCCCATACTACGAGTAGCAATGAAAATTTTAAAGCAGAAAAAGCCTTCTACTCCTCTACAATATTCCCATCTCCAATTTCATCAACATAAGTCGTTAAGAATTTGCCTCCACAGGTGACTCACTCCCAATTCGTATGCCTATGCCATCAAATCTTTCAACCACAAACCACCTCTTAGCCCACTATTGGCCAAATTCAAAAAGCCCCTTGGATATAGGATGCATGATGGAAGTCTAGGCTTTAATTGTTTTTTCACAAGAGAGATTCAAGTGGGAAGGATGAATGAATCATTAAACAGAAGAAAGTAATCTAAACTGAGGTAACCTTTGAGATGAAAAAGAGACAAATTTTAGATCAAATTTTCACAACTCATCCAATTAAAAAAAAAAAATGCAAGAAAATATGTATAGAGGATCAGATAGATAAAAGACTGGAAGAGTTGGATAAATTATTACATCTTGACTGTTTCAAGACTTTTCCTATTAAATTTTTATCTCAATTAACTGGAAGCCGGTTTTGTATAGTCAGATCTAACTTCTCTTGTTGGGCTGTCTTTTTGTATATCCTTTTTGTTCTCTCACTTTCTCTAGATGAAAGCACGGCTTCTCATCAATAAAAAGAAAAATTTAGCACAAGGTCAATTTCTTACTTTAGAATTGTAAGCTTGTGTCCTTTATTAGATGAAGGCAGCAATAGGGATCTGGGTTTTCAAATTTCATACCAAAACTTATCATAAATAGTATTATATCTAAGAACCCAAATGGTTCTACGCCTTCTCCAAACCTTTAAGCAGGAAACAAATTATTTCGTACATTATAGTTGAATCCAAAAGAAAAAATAATGATGGATTCCATAAATGCAGTAACCTTGGCATTACACCCAAGACGGAACAGAATAAATGGATGAAAAGAATCCACAAACCATATTTAAAGAACAGATAAACCCAACCAAACCCAATAACAAGAGGATTTAGTAAAGTAAAAACAAAAGTATCCTTAAACCACTAAATAAGAAGTAAAACAATGACGTCAAAGCACGTACAAGGCTAAAAGCTCATCTAAGATAATAACTGCAGGTTTTAACACGAGTATGAATAGAATGCATCGTCAGAGTTCATAATTTATGTTCATCTTGGGAATAAAGAGGTAGGAAGAGGCGAAAGCTTGAAAAAAAAAAAAAAAACAACAACAACAATCCCCACAACCACCATCTGCACATTTTACAGTATTGGAAAATTCATCATCCAACAAAACCGAACTAATAGAAGTCAATTGCTGAAGTTCCTTCAATCCCATCAACCCAAGCTACTTTACCCCACACATAAACATTATTTGAAGTAGCCGGATTAAAAATTTTAATTGACCGTCTCAAAAACTATAAAACCCCAAAGATGCAAAAACAAACGCAACAAACACATACCGGTGGAAATCAAATTAAGTAGCGGAAGCCGTAGAGTGCGGGAAGAAAGAATCTCAAAAACTATAAACCCAAAAGATGCAAAAACAATCGCAACACACACATACCGGTGGGAATCAAATTAAGTAGCGGAAACTGTGGAGGGCGGGAAGAAAGAAGCCCTAACCCGAAGTTAAAATTATCTGAAGTCGAACGGAAAAGGGAAAGACAACAGAGAGAGGAAATCTCGCAGTTCGAGGGAAGGGATCCTGCCAACGCGCAAGTTAGGGCTTTTATAGTGCCGGTCCCAACCGGTGACGGCCAGTCAAGATTATTGGGTTTCGGTTTCCGAATATTCGGACTTTTGGGCTTTATTCCGTTCATCACGGCCCAAAATTTGTAGGTTGGGCCTTGCAAATCAATAGCCCGGCCCAATTCTTTCTTTTTCTTTTTCTTTTTCTTTTTCTTTTTCTTTTTATAAGAAATACTTATTTCCTTCCAATTTGAATATTTTTTATTTCATAAATTCACGTTTTAATTTTATTAATTAAATACGCAAATAATTTTGGAGTTAAAAAAAAAAAACTATTTTGGCAATCTATTTGGAATGACTTCCATGAGTTATTTTTTATTTATTTTTTAAACGATATTAACTTATTATAGTAATATTATTGTTTTTTTTTCTAAACACCAAATCAACAACTTATCAATAAATTAACTGTGAATTAGTCATTAAATAAATTTAAACTTTTTTTTTTTTTTTTTTTTTTTTTTTTTTTTTTTTTTT